GACGCGACATGTCCGAGGTGCGAGGAGGCACGAGAGATTGTTGTCCACAGGTTCTGTGGTTGTCGGTGCAACTTTGGAGCAGCTGCATCTTATTCTTCGGACAAGCTAGTTGGAGAGGCGTATTCCGGATGGGAAATCAGCTGAACGTTTGGCTTCGGGGTCTTATCCAGTCGTCTTGGGTCGCTATACCTTTTCGATGGGTGTTGAAGATTGGTTTTATCCTGGAGAAGCGTTGTCTGGCAAGTTTGGGTCTGGAACACGTGCTCAGCCCTTGTTTTTTCCTCTGGGGGTGCCAGTGGTGGGGGGCTTTCTGAAGATTCTCGGCAAAGAAGAGCAGGCCCAGCAGTGGCCCGCACAGTTGATTTAAACCCGATGCGCATTCAGAACTCGATTTCTGGAGGTCTGGTTGGTGACAGGCAGTCTGTCCCCAAAGGCGAGTTGCGGGCCTTGCATCTCGCCCTCGAAACGATTACAGGATCGGTTGGTTGCAGATAATCAAGGAGTGGCCGATGGATGGAGTGAACGTCGCTTCGAGAATCCGCACGGCCAGGACGCAGATTCGTGGCGCAAAATAGGGCAACAATCCCAATCAGGACGAGACTCGGCTGCGGTAGTGGTGTTACTCGTCAACTCGCACCTGGGGCCCCGCGAACTGCTTGTTGGAAAATTCCCGCAGTGGAGGATGCTGGGGAGCGCTGCAGCGGGCGTCTTGGCGGGAGCAGTTGCCCAACGGGTCCAAGTTGACCCGGAAGCACGAGTGCGAGCGGAGATGTGGGAGCAGAAAGCATATCTCTTAAGGTTGCGCCTTCTCTGTGCCACGGTAGATGCGCTCAATTGTGAGAGCGAGTTGGAGCCTGTAAGGAGGAAATAACGCGAGCCACCTCCCCCCCTCCGCATGCACGGTCCATGGTCCAGATTGTCACCGCGTCTCACGTTTTGGACGAGTCTGGACGAAAATACACCAGATGCCGTAGCTCCTCTACCAATGCCAAGCAGGCCCCGAGGCGCGAGATCCCATGTTTTCACCCTGTGCACGTGAATGGTGAAAGTTTCGGGGTCCCGTCTGAAGTAAAGTTGCACCAAGCGGGGGGGTGGGTCCATCCTTCATCGCATGCGTCTCCATTCAGCTTTGAAGCTTTAGTTTTGCGGTAGTTGCGGTTGTTTCGCACGTCCGATGTTGAAGGGCTTGGGACAATAATGTCTCAATGCGACGAATTCCGATCGAGCCGACTATTTAAGCAGGATCTCAGAGGGGTTACGGCCCAAGGTCCTGAGCAAGGCCGAACAGGCTCGGCGGATTTCGTAGTTCAGGAAATTTCGCTTTGCGGGTGGGGTCGCTCACTCACTCCTCCTCTTCCTCCTCCTCTTCATCGTGCTCCTCCTCGTCCTCCTCGTGCTTATCCCCGTCCTCGCGGTCGCCGCCGCCGCCGCCGTCGCTGTCTCGTCCTCGTCGGCGAGGGGGGAGGGAGAAGAGGAGGGCCGGAGGAGGAGGCATGTGCTCACGCAGGCGCGCAGGCAAGCGCGTGCAAGTAAGCAAAGTAGCGCTGGCGATGGAGGAGCTGAACTTGTTTAGGGTTGAAGTTTTAGCGCCCGCCCGCCCGCAAATACAGGCCATCGCGAACAACGAATCACGTGCATGCGAGCGCAAGCAAGTTCGCGCTAGGAAGTGCGAGTCAGCACGTGACCGTGAGCAGTCACGCAAGGAAGCAACACGGCAAGCTCAAGCTGACGCTCGATCACGCAAGCCAGCTAACGACCGCAAGCAAGCGCTAATAAAGCAAGTATGGACACGCAAGCAGACTGAAGTCAAAATGAGTATGGGCGAGCGAGCCAGGGCAAGCACGGTCTGGAACCCATGCAAGGTGCAGGCGCAAGCACATACGACGATGTTCAAGCAAGAACAAGCAAGGGATCGCAGTCAAGCAAGCGTTCTCGATCAACATGTGTGCAGGCAAGCGCAGTCACGCAAGCATCGATATTACAGTGAACGAGCCGCAAAGCATGACGCAATGCACTACAATGTTAGCCAGCGTGGACCCCAACGATGTCTTGCAATCTAATTAGGTGGCGCAATCAATGTGATGCAATCTAGGAGGCGCAATCCATGTGGCGAAATCACTGTACAAAGCAAAGCACTGCAAAGCAATGCATAGCAATGCAATGCGATAAACAGCCGTGCAAAACAATGCAACGCGACGGAAAGCAGTGCGAAGCAGTGCAAGGCAATGTGCACAATGCAGAGCAGCACAACACCATGCGATGCGGTGCGGCGCGATGCGATGCGATGCGATGTGATGGCAACGCAATGCGATGCAGCGCAATGCCACGCAATGCAGTGCAATACAACGCAACGCAATGCAACACAAGGGGCGGGTGCAGCAGGGCGGCGCCCACGGACGCCCACGGGGCGAGCCGGGCCCGCCAGCGAGACTTTGTTGTTGGGGCAGCTGGCGCGGCGGCAGGTGGGGGCGGGGCCGCTGGGGCCGCGAGCACGGGCCCAGTTCCTCCGAAGGAGAAGAGAATACCGAGCGCGAGCAAGTATGCGGAGTCAACCACACAGCCAAAGCCAAGCGAGCACTGCAGGTGCCTAAGAGGAAGCAGGTGCAGCTGGTCTCCATCAAGCAAACGAGCAACGAAGCAAGCACGCCTGCCTAGCTCGCACTCGCTAGCTCGCTAGCTCGCTCGCGCTCGCTAGCCAACAAACTAACAAGCTAGCAAGCCAGCGGTCAAGAGAGCACGTGCGAAGACAGAAAGGCCAGCGCAATCAATCGCGATCAAACGCAAGCAAGCACGTACACTCACATGAGACAGGCAAGCGCAAGAATTGATGACACCATGCGCGTGCGTTCACGCAACCATTGCGCGCCGGGTGATAATAATCAAAAACAAGCCGCACGCGAGCAACCACAAGCGACCGAGACTGAGTGCACGCAGTAAAGGAACTCTCCCCGCCCCTTCCCCGCCCACCCGCCTCGCCCCGCTGGCCCGGACCTCCTGCGTGCGCGTTCGCCGCCGCCTGCGCCGCCGCCGTGCAGCCTCTCTCCACGCCCTCCTCGCCCTCCTCGCCCTCCTCCTCCTCCTCCTCCTCCTCCTCCTCCTCCTCCTCCTCCTCCTCGGCCTTCTCGCTTTCTCCTCCTCCTCCTCCTCCTCCTCAGCCTCCGCCTCCGCCTCCTCCTCCTCCTCCGCCTTCTCGCTTTCTCCTCCGCCTCCTCCTCCGCCTCCTCCTCCGCCTCCTCCTCCTCCTCCTCCTTCTCCTCCGCCTTCTCGCTTCCCCTCCTCCTCCTCCGCCGCCGCCGTGCAGCGCACACTGCGGGGAGTCGGCGGCCCCGAACAGCAAAACAAAACAAAACAGCTGCGGGGAGTCGGCGGCCCAGCCGCCGCCGCCGCCGCCGCCGCCGCCGCCGCCGCCGCCGCCGCCTCCTCCTCCTCCTCCTCCTCCTCCTCCTCCTCCTCTTGGACATCGTCCTGGGTTTCTTATGCTTATTCCTTGTTAGAATATAGTCTGACTCCTCCCCCTGGCCGGCCGATAGGGGTTCCATCCGGACCCTCCCATGTGAACTGTATAAAAAATAACAATACAAAGTCGTCGGTGTTTCTCTCTTTCTTGTCGTCGACGATGCGAAATGCGTAGCAGGAATAAGACGCGGCGCACATCGCGCGCGGCCGTCAATCATGGCCCTCCCATCCTAACTTCAAAAAATCCATACAAGGTCGTTGTTTTTTCTCTCGGCCTTTGACGATGCGAAGTGCGTAGCAGGAATGGGACGCGGCGCACATCGCGCGCGGACGTCTGGGGCAACCCCAAGCGGGAGGGGCCATCCTACCTGTCAGAAACCATACAAGGTCGAGATGTTTCTTCTCAGTGGGGACTCTCTTGTCGTCGGCTTTGCGAAATGCGCAGCAGGAAGGGGGCGCGGTGCACACCGCGCGCGACAGGGCGAAAATGTCGCTCTCGCTTCGGCGCCGCGCGCATATTTTCTGAAAGTTGCGCTCCCGCTAAGGCGCGGCGCACATTTTTCGCTCGCCGATTCGTCAAGCGCCTGGGGCCCCTGGGGTCTCCCAGGGTCTCCTGGGACATCCTCGGGCTTCCCGGGGCTTCCCCAGGGCCTCGTGGATCCTCCTGGAGCCTCCTGAGACATCTTGGGGCTTCCTGGGATTCCCCAGGGGCTTCCTGACACTTCCCAGGGCTTCGTGAAGCCTCCTGGAATTACCTGGGGCTTCCTGGGCCCTCCTGAAGCCTCCTGGGGCTTCCTGGGGGTCGCTGGGGCTTCCCCTAAGACCTCCTGGGGCCTCCTGAGGCTTCCTGGGGCCTCCTCGGCTCGTGCTGAAATGCCAGCGCAGTCTTTGAGACGCGCCAGGGACTGATTATCGGTACCCGCCATCGTGGCTGCATCAGCTGCGGCCAACCACCTTGCCGATCTGATTTCGGTCCCCAGTTGCGTCAGCACTGTTTCTTATGTTGTGGGAGGGTGGGTGGGAAGGGGCATGCCATGCTTGACTCGCTCGAGCTAGCTAGCTTGACTCTTACTCTTACTCCTCCTCCTCCTCCTCCTCCTCCTCCTCCTCCTCCTCCTCCTCCTCCTACTCCTCCTTCTCCTCCTTCTCATCCTCCTCGTCCTCCTCCTCATCTCCGCGTCCCCCGATTCGCCCTCGTCAGCTCCCTTACCACCGTCCCTATTGCCGACCTCGCCGCCGCCGTCGCTGCCGAAATCGTCGTCGCCGCCGCCCTCGCCGCCGTCACCCTTGCCGACGACTCCGCCGCCCCGACGTCGCAGACGTCGCCGACGCCGTCGACGTCGCCAGCGCCGCCGCCGCCGCCGCCGTCGGCACCTGGGCCGACGTTGCCAACGCCGACGACGCCGCGCAGCCGCCGCCGCTGACGCCACCGTTGCCGACGCAGCCGCAGACGCCGCCGACGCCGCCGCCGCCGCCGCCGACGCCGCCGACGCCGCCGGCGCCGCGCGGGCGCCGGCTCCTCTGGCGCCTGCGCGCCCGCGAAGGCCGCGCGGCGCGCGCCAGCTGCGTGGGGCACGCCGGCATTCCGGGCCTTCTCGAGCATCAAGTACCAGGTGGCCTCGTCGTCATCGTCGTCGTCATCGTCGTCGACGTCGTCGTCGTGGTCATCGTTGTCGTCGTCGTCGTCGTCCTCCTCCTCCTCCTCCTCGTCGTCGTCGTCGTCCTCCTCGTCGTCGTCTTCATCCCAAGAAATCTCGTTGCTTCCTGCAGGTTTTCTCTCCTCGGGCTCGGGCCAGGGGCGCCTCCGGCGCTCCGCGTCTCTCGGAGCGCTCCCGCGGAGCGCCCCCGGGGGATGCCCTTCTAAGGGGCTACCAGGAGTGGCCTCCCGGAGGGGCCCTCTCGGGGGCCGTCCTTCACGCAGCCTTCTCTCTTCCTCTCTCTCTTTCTCTCCCTCTCTCCCTCTCTCGTTCTCTGTCCCTCTCCCTCTCCCCCCCACTCTCTCCCTCTCTCTCTCTCTTTCCCTCTTTCTTTTTTTTGTTTCTCTCTCTCTCTCTCTCTCTCTTTCTCTCGAGGAGGAGGAGGAAGAGAAGGAGGAGGAGGAGGAGGAGGAGGAGAAACGCGGGGACCGTCTCTTCAAGACGAGGACCCAACACCACAGGATGGTTGGGAACTGCCAGAAGCCTGCGCCCAGAGCTCCTCGAGACGTTGGAGGTCTGGGTCCGTCTCTCCTCCAGGCCTCTGGGGCCCAACACCGGTGCGCGGCGAAGCCCCGCGGCGGCTTGCGCCGGCCGCCGCCGCCGCGCCGCCGCCGTCGGTGCCCGAGGGCCTGTGGCAGCCCCCCCCCCCGTGCAGACGTTTCGGCGGCGAGGGAGGGGGGGAAATGAGAAGGAGAAGGCCTTCTCAGAGGGCGGCGGGGGCCTTCTGATAAGGCCCTCTCCTCCTGACTTCCCCCCCCCATTGCTCGCCGCTGAACGTTAGGCCTCGCACGAGTGGCTCCGCCTGGACGCCAACGGCGAGGGCACCCTCGGCATCTCTGACTTCGCACAGGGCGCGCTCGGCGAGGCACCGCCCACGGGCGACCGCCGCCGCCGCCGGCGACGTCGGCTTTGACGAGGGACGCGGCCGCGGAAGAGGAGGAGGAGGAGGTATAAACTCATAGGCTCCTTCCTCACGTAGGTCTAATGTAAAAGGAGGAGGAGGAGGAGGAGGAGAGGAGGAGGACGACGAGGACGAGGACGAGGAGGGGTAGGAGGAGGAGGAGGAGGAGGAGGAGGAGGAGGAGGACGAGAGCAAGAAGGACGGGGACGGGGAGAAGTTGGGGGAGGAGGAGGAGGAGGAGAGCAAGAAGGACAGGGAGGGGGAGAAGGAAACAGAGGATGAGGAGTAGGATGAGCAGGAGGAGGAGAAGGAGGAGCAGGAGGAGGAGGAGGAGGAGAAGGAGGAGGAGGAGCAGGAGGAGGAGGAGGAGGAGGAGGAGGAGGATGGGGAGAGGAGGAGAGGAGGGGGAGGAGGAGGAGGAGGAGGAGGAGGAGGAGGGGAGGAGGGGGAGGAGGAGGGGAGAAGAGGAGGAGGAGGAGCAGGAGCAGGAGGACGGAGTAGGAGGGGAAGCAGGAGGACGGGGAGGGGAAGAAGGAGGAGGAGTAGGTGGTGGTGGTGGAGGAGGCGGAGTAGGAGGAGGAGGAGGAGGAGGAGGAGGAGGAGGAGGAGGAGGTGGAGTAGGGGGAGGAGGAGGTGGAGGAGGAGGAGGAGGTGGAGGAAGAGGTGGAGGAGGGGGAGGAGGAGGAGGAGGAGGAGGAGGAGGAGGAAACTGAGCAACAGGCGAATCTGATGGATCATCCTTGATAAGCTTTTGTTGGTCGGTAGGTTCGCGTCGCCAGTGCTGAAGCGGCGGTCGATCCATCAGCGGTCAAGCGAGCCACGCGGTTCTTCGGGGCAGATTGCTCAGCTTGACTCGCTGTCTTCGACGTCGATCGAGTGAGAGGAAGTTGTCATGGCACAAACGGGCCATCCCAGTGCAGAAGGGGGTTCGTATAGGAAAGTCTTTCGGACAGGTGCGTGCCCAGCCCTGGCCTGCGGCGCCGAGATCAGCGGTAACGCAGGCGCGGAACTCGCGGCGTTGGGGCAAGCGCATTGAATGCACATCATGCCATATTACGGCGGCACATCAGCGCCAGCTGAGACCGTCCACCAGGGGGCCTTGCCGCCAAGCAGGCGTTGGCCCCAGCTTCCGCTGGTCCAGGATGGCCTCGATTGCAGTTACAGTCGAGCATCTGGTTAAGAAACCTCCTCCTGAAAAGCTGGGCCAGTGATTCGTAACCAACTTGCAGGAAAGTTGCCCCTGTTTTTTTGCACGTTCGCCCCTCCAGCGTTAACAACCGAAGTTGGCCCAGGTTGACTCTATAGGCTTACGCCACATCCGCCGACCCTTGTTTCTTGTGTTGCCGTGTCTGTGGGGGGCCACGGGCCCCGGGAGTGGCACGCCTTGTGGGGCCTCTGTTGGGCATGTTGGGCCTCTTGGGGGCTCATTGGGGCCCTTTGGGTGCTTCATGGGGGTCTTTTGGGCTTTTTTGGCGGCATTGTGGGATCTTCTGGGCGCCTCAGTGGGAGGAAGGTTGGAATTCTCGGTTCGTGGCTCCTCTGTTGGACCCTTCCTGGAGCCGTCTTCGAGCTCTGTTGGGCCGTCTTTGGCGCCTGTGGGGCCGTCTTGGAGTTCTTTTGGGCCGTATTGAGAGCCTCTTGGGGCCCTCTTTGGCCATCTTCGGGCGGCCGTGGGGGCCTCGTAGACGGTTTTGAACGCCGCGAAGGCTGAACAGTTGAATGCTGGTCTGGAGAGCCAGCGGTGCCATTTCGCGATTCCCAACACAGGGTGAGCGGGTTGAGGAGGACTGCTGATGACCAGGAGGAGGAGGACGAGGAAAAGGCGGAGGGCGATTAGGGGCAGGACAATCGGGCGGGCGAGGATGACGACAGCGGAGGAGGGATACGTGGGGCGGCTGGTCCAGAGGATGGATGACGACGGTTGTTGTCGCATGTGTGATCGCATGTGTTCTCTTACATCGTTGGCCTTCCGGGTCCGTCATTCAATTTGGTTCCCAACCGCGCCCGTTCGGGTTTGGTACCACGGCGGTTGGTAGCCAACCAGGCGGCGACGGGTGTCATATGTGCCCGCTGGGTCTTGTACCCCGACACTTGACAGCCACATTCCGTCAGGAGGATCTCCTGCATGTTCTTCAAGTATCGTGTTGGGCTTCCGTTCGGTTTTTTCTTTAGATCACCGCCGCGCCCGAACACACATCCCAACACAGATCATTACAGGTGTCCTGCTCTGCAGAGGGGATGGCGCTTGTGGGCGGCCTTCGTGAGGTTCGTGGCCTCGGGAGCGCCAGCGCGCAGTAATTCTGAGGCGTTGCGGCTTCGGGGGCGCCGCCGTGTCATCAGGTGCGACGATGCGGCGGCCTCGGGGGAGCGCGAGCCTGGCGCATTTCACGAGGGACTGCGGCGGGGGGCGGGGGCGAGAGGCCGGCGCAATCTCAACGCACTGCGGCCCCGGGGGCGCGGGCGCGTAGCACTCTTTCGAGGGGGGTGCGGATTCGCGGGCGCTTGCTTGTCGAAGATTTCGAAGCGGCCCGTGGCCTCGCGAGCGCGAAAACCTGGCGTGAGTGCACAGCGGGCCGTGGCCCCGGGAGAGTGCGAGGAGGGAGGTGACCTTGCGAGGGAGCGTGGCTTCGGGGGCGCGCAGCTGTGGTATGCAACGTGTGCCAGGGCTCTCCTGCCTCCTCCTCCTCCTCTTCCTCGTCCCCGTCCCCCTTCTCGCCCTTTTTCCTTGTCCTCCTCTTTGTTCGAGTCCTCCTCCTCTTCATCTCCCCTCCTCCTCGTCCCCCTCCTCCCCGCCGTCCTCTTCCTCCTCTTCCTCCTCTTCCCCCCCTTCCTTCCCCCCCCTTCACCCTTGCCCCGCTCTCCCAGGAAGTTCGGGGCACGTGATTTGGGGAAGGTCAGACGTCATCACAACCGTGGGACAAGAAACGAAAACCTCTGTCCGGGGGTGACTGAAAGTGCCCCCGGCCCAAGGTGCTTCCAGTATTTCGCTCAACGGCGTCGGCGTCCGCTCCCATCTTCTCCCTCGGACAGCCTGGTCCACGCAGCCGGAGTTGAGAAAGTCGTGGACGAGAGTTCGATTTTGAAAAGGATGTCCCATCCATGCGTGCAGCTGCTGCGCAGTTGGGGGGCTCGGGTCACAGAGTTTGAGGAAGCATTAAACGGGACCCGAATTTGTAACCGAGCCAGCTTCCATCTTTGTATCTGTTGCAAGCTTTCAGGACGAATGTGCGCGGCGTCAAGGTGAATATTCCATTATCAAAAACATGTTGTCTCCACCCGCGTGACAGTGAAGCCTTTTTAGTCTCAGGATAGCAAGGAAATCTCAAGCGACCCCCCCGGTTTGGCCTACGCACACATCCTATGGTGTGACATGGGGGAGCTAGTTCGAGGGACGAGGGATGGAGGCGCAAAGCAGTACGCAGAGAGGAACAGCACGTGCGGGTTCTGCCCGCCTCCGCTGACGGGGTGCTTCTCGAAGGCTTATTGGTTGGAGCACCATCGGGGTATCTTGGGCCGTCGGAGGGCAATCCCGGACGTGCTGGAAGAGTCATGTGGTTACCGTTCGGGACGAGTCCGGCACCTTCGGCAAGCATTTCTCGGCCTTGTATCTGGAGACCTTGTGTGGGTTTCCGGACCGTGAACTGTCTCATGGCCGTGGCCCATCCCGGTTTAATTTTGCGCCAGACTCTCTGAGACGTTTCGTGGAGTCTTTTTCGGAGCGTTCTCGAGGGAGTAGGGGGGGCAGTGTCAGAGTCCGTAGGGAGGTGTCTTAGGTCAGTTTTTTTCCGCAGGAGCCATTCGGAGTGTTCGCCGTGCAGACATGGGACAAACATCATAAACAGCAGTTCGCACACGGCAGGCATCAGTGAACACACCAGAGAAGTGATTAGCGAATGGCCTTCGGTGCATCCCGCCTCCAGCGTTAACAACAGAAATTGGCCCAGCTTGATTGTAGCAACTTCGGGAAACAGGCCCAGATTTCTCCAATGATATCTCGCCTTGATCATTTTCTTTGGTTGCAGTGGCCCCGAGACCTGACAGTGATTTGGTCTGGCCGGCGCGGCTTTGCCACGTGTGGGATCGGGTACCAGCACGTCGCGACGCGAATGTCCTGAGCTGAAAGGCTCCCAAGCTGGGCCCTCGGAGGAGGCCACCCCGGGCGCGCATCGTGGGCGCAGCGCGGGCGCTCCTTGGCCGCAGCGCGGACGCGCGACCCTGGCGCACGCGCGCCCTTCGACCAGACCGACGATCGCGCGCCGTGCGCTAGCGAGGCCGCCTGGGCCTCCTCGGAGCGCCGGGCCAGCGCCGCCTCCGTGGGCGGAGGAGGAGGAGGAGGGAGGAGGAGGAGGAGGAGGAGGAGGAGGAGGTAGGAGGAGGAGGAGGAGGAGGAGGAGGAGGAGGAGGAGGAGGAGGAGGAGGAAGAGGAGGAGGAGGAGGAGAGGAGGAGGAGGAGAGGAGGAGGAGGAGGAGGAAGAGGAGGAGGAGGAGGAGGAGGAGGAGGGAGGAGGGGAGGAGGGAGGGGGGGGGGGGGGCGCGCAAGAAGTATACGCGCGCGAGTCCCGAAGGGCCCCAGCCGCGTCTCCGCCCCGCGTGCCGGCGGCCAGGGCGCGCGCGCGCGCCCGCGCCTCCGCGGGCGCGGCGCCGCGGGGAGGTGCGCGCGCGGCCGGGCAGACGCGGCCCCACCGCGGACTGCCCGCGCGCGTGGGAGCCGATGCTCTGCACGAGCGAACCGCCTCCTCCTCCTCTCCTCCTCCTTCCTCCTCCTCCCTCCTCTCCTCCTCCTCCTCCCTCCTCCTCTCCTCTCCTCCCTCCCCCTCCCTCCTCCTCCCTCCCTCCCTCCTCCCTCCTCCTCCTCCCTCCTCCCTTCCTCCTCCTCCCTCCTCTCCTCCTCCTCTCCTCCTCCCTCCTCCTCCTCCTCCTCCTCCTTCCTCCTCCTCCTCCTCCTCCTCCTCCTCCTCCGGACTGCCCGCACGCGTGGGAGCCGATACTCTGCACGAGCGAAATGGGCACGGAAAGAATGGGCACAATGCCCAACAGCGGATCCTGGTCCTTTTGAGCAGGACTCGCTGTCCACGCCGCCGCGGCCTGTGTCCATTCGAGAGAGAAGGCCGCCTGAACAACAGCGGCCGCTGTTGGTTTGGGACAACATTTGTTGTTGGGCATTGTACCCATTCTTTCCGTACCAATTTCGGGCGTCCAAAGATGCGGCTGCTCGTCGGGCGGAGTCGGAGGCACCAGGCGGCGTTCCTCCAGAGCTCGACCGGCAGCGCCGAGGGGCGGGAGTCCGCGCGGGAGTGCTTCCTGCACGGCGGCTCGGACCGCCCAGCACTTGAGGCTGCGCTGCAGGCTTTCGTCGTCGGCGCTGCGCGGACTTTGAGGCTGAGCAGGTGGTCGCTACGGCGCGTCCGACTCCGCGCATCCCGCGGGCGCGGGCCTGACCGACGGACCCAAGACACCATCGCGACTCAGATGCTCACAGCCCCGGGTCGCCACCACCCGCTGCGACCGCCAACGCTCGATACCTCGGCACCTCAGCTTCTCGGTGGCCCGGAGCGGCGCGTCGAACGCTGCCAGGTCGCCCCCGCCGCGCGCGGGCCACGTGAGGAGGTCCTTGACATCCCAGCCGATGCTGCGCAAGGAACTTCGACATCCGCAGCTCGGACGGCACGTCGCCATTGCAAGGGCCCATCGAGTTCGCGGCTCTCGGCTCTCGAGGCTGCCTGGGGCACGGCGGGCGGGTTGGGCCGCTGCGTGCCTCCTCGACCTCGGGTTCGCGCGCAGCGGTGCCAGTGACGGCGCCACAAACCTGGCATTCACAGGGCGAGTTGCAGACCGCCCAGATGATGCCTGTTTTGATTTCATGGGCACGGTGAGAGTTGGCCGGAAGACCCACGAACAGCGGACTGCAGACATGCGTTCAGGCGCGCAGGCATTGGGCCATTCTTTTCCACGGCGAGCTACGACGAGCTTGCATCCAAGGAGCGCGTGATGTCAAGGCTCACAGAGAAAGAATTGAATAGAAGAGGCTCTCAGTGGTTCCAAGCGACGCTTGACGGCGGCCGCTGTTCTTGCCGACGCGCATGCGATGCGCGCTAAGCTTAAGTCGGGCACGTCCCTCCCTACAGGAGGAATATAGTAAAAAGAATATTCGGTGGACCAATTTTTCATATTGTTTGATCATTGCCGAGCGTTCTTTGAGTATTCTTCGCTCTTGTTACTTAATCCGCCTGTGGGAGGGCATGCCCGACCTAACGCTAAGCAGATCCACCCCGGCTCACGGCCCAGTGCCACCCTTTTGCTGCGGGGGGCGGCGGGGTGAGAGTCGTTGCGGCAGCCGCCTTGTCCCTTGCGAGCGAGGGCCCGCGTCGCCGTGCACGCGTGCGGGCCGCCGCCATGCCCTCGCCCACCACCACCCTCGCAACCGTGCCCCGCTCCTATTCTACCCCCCCCCCTTCCACCCAAGCCTCTCCCAGTCGTCCGTCCTCCTCCTTCTGTTGTCCCTCTTCCCCCCTCCCTCCCTCTCTCCTTCCTTCCTCTCCCCTTCGTTTACCTCCATCCCTTTCCCCCTCCCTCCCTCCCCCTCCTTCCAATCCCCCCTCCTTGCCCCTCCCCCCATTGGAGCCTTCTCCTTGGGGCGAGGTCGTCTACGTAGACCTGCCGTCCGAGGGCGCCACCTTCAAGACAAAGGATACGATCTGCACGCTGGAGAGCGTCAAGGCGTCCTGCGCCGCCAATTTTTCCAGAGGAGGAAGAGAAGGAACACAAATGAAGAGAAGGAGGACCAGCGTAAACCCAAGACGCATCAACGATGTTGCAATAAACCCTCCCTCCAAATTCCCTCTTCATAGTTCCCAGCATGAACATCCTTTCGTTGCGGGGAACACTCCATTGAATACAGCCGCTGGAGGACCCTCACCTGTGCCAAAACACACTTCCTGGGATTACAACGCCGTGGATCAACGCGACGATTGCGTCCGGTCAGTCTAGAGCATGCAGTGGAATGAAGGACTGGGTGAGACGTCATACCCAAGAGGGGGAGGATGGACGAGGAATCGGTGGAGGAGGAAGTGGAAAAGGAGGGAGAGGAAGAGGGGGAGGAGGGATGAGGAAAGAGGAGGAGGAGGAATAGGGAAGAGGAAGGAGGAGGAGGAGGAAGAGGAGGAAGGCGAGCAGAAAGGCCAGAGGCCTCTTGGGTGCCACTTAGAGTCTCTTCGGATTTCTTCCAGACTTGTTGGGGTCCTCTTGGTGTGTCTTCGCTGTGTTTTCGCAGTCCCAGGGGGAGCATCTTGGGGCGTCGTCAGTGCCTCTGGGGAGCCTCTTGGGGCCTTCTGGGGGGTCTCTTGGGAGCCTCTTAAGGGCATCTTGGAGGCCTCTTGGGGGCCGCCTGCTCTCGGGTCGTCGTGGGTGCCTCTGGGTGGGGGGCCTCCTAGGGCCTCTTGGGGTCTCAGCCTTTTTTGGGGGGGCATCTTTGGGGACCTCTTGGGGGCCTCTTGGGGGCCTCCTGGGTACCTCTCGGGGCCACCTTGGGCACCCTCGGGAGCCTCGGAGGCCATCTTGGGGCCATCTTGGAGGAGATCGACCAAAGGAGGGGGGGGCCCGGCGATGTTGGCCTTCTCGCTGAGGCCTCGTGGGGCATATTGGGTGCCGCTGGGGGGCCGCTTGGGGGTCTCTTGGGGGCCTCTTGGGGGCCTCTTGGGGGCTTCTTGCACCCATCGGGAGCCTCGGGGGGCCCTCAGCAGAGGCAGGGAGGGGCGAAGCAGGAAGCGATGGGGGAGTCAGCGATCCCATGGCCGCGCGCCGGGTTGCCGAGCACGCCTCAGAGGGGGGGAAAACAGCGCGCGAGGGGGTGGGCCTCTCGGAAGGGGCGAGCGGGAGGAACACGAGCTTGTGGCTGGAGCGGGAGCCTCGGGCGGGCCACCGCGGCAGCAGCGAGGAGGAGGCGTGCCCGGAGGCCGCCGGGGGCTCGGCGGGCCGAGAGCGCCCGAAGGCTTCCCCCGTCGACCCTCGAGGGTCGAGGGCGAGACTTGGCACCAGTGGGAGGAGGAGGAGGAGGAGAGGAGGAGGAGGAGGAGGAGGAGGAGAGGAGGAGGAGGAGGAGGAGGAGGGAGGAGAAGGAGGGGAGGGGGAGGAGGAGGAGGAGGAGGAGGGAGGAGGAGGAGGAGGAGGAGGAGGAGGAGGAGGAGGAGGAGGAGGAGGAGGATGAGGAGGAGGAGGAGGAGGAGGAGGAGGAGGAGGAAGGAGGGGGAGGAGGAGGAGGAGGAGGAGGAGGAGGAGGAGGAGGAGGAGGAGGAGGAGGAGGAGGAGGAGGAGGAGGAGGAGGGAGGAGGAGGAGGAGGAGGAGGAGGAGGAGGAGGAGGAGGAGGAGGTGGAGGAGGAGGGAGGAGGAGGAGGAGGAGGAGGGAGGAGGAGGAGGGGAGGAGGAGGAGGAGGAGGAGGAGGAGGAGGAGGGCTGGGAGGAGGGCTGGGAGGAGGGCTGGGAGGAGGGCTGGAAGGAGGGCTGGGAGGAGGGCTGGGAGGAGGGCTGGGAGGAGGAGGAGGAGGAGGCGGAGGAGGAGGACTGGGAGGAGGAGAACTGGGAGGAGGAGGAGGAGAAGGAGGAGGAGGAGGAGGAGGAGGAGGAGCGAGCGAGCGAGCCGCAGGAGAGGCGTCCGAGTGACGAACACCAACCGCGTGTGAGACCTGAGAGCCACAGGGGTGGCGGGAGGCGGAAGCCTGGGAGAGGGTGGGGCGCCTCAGGAAAACCACACCCAAGAAAACCTCCCAGGCCCAAGTCCAAAAGAAAACACTAGGGGGCAGGGTTCGGGCCAGAACGCGCCGCTCCTGCCCCACGCTGGCGGGGCTCCAGGCCACGGGCAATACGGTCGATCGCCGTGAGCTGGTTCGCCCTAGTCTTTGGATTCTCCGAGAAACCTTGGCACCGCGCCCGCAGCTTGCGGGCGGACCTGAAGGACTCGGACCCGTTGAAATTGCCCCCGCACTTGCGGCAGCAATACACGGAATTAACACAGAAAACGTCATGCCCCAATTCTGCGAATTCGGCAAGCACAGGTTGGGGAACGTCGGCCGAGCCACTGGCAGCAGACACCTGCTCCAGCGGCTGGGGAGGGACCGCGGGGAACCCCGAGGAGGCCTCCGAAGGCCGAGACGTGGACCCCAACATCCTATCGGCCGCCTCGATGGCCGCCGCTACCCTAGAATCCGACACACTCAGCCACGCCTCAGAACTCCGCAGAAAGAAGTCCTCGGCAAGGCTCTGGACGAGAGGCGAGGGAGCACATACCCGATCAGCTCCCGAACGAAGAGTCTGGAGGGTACTCGCACTCCGAGCGACACGATTGCACCGTCGACACCGGTACTCAGACGTCCTCTGGCAGAATAGCAACTCGTGGTCCTGGGGCCTCTCGAAAACCACACGCTTGGGCACCTGGGCGAGCTCTGGGTCGTGCACCACGACAGGGTCGGCTCCCCACTTCCGAAACTGCACAACCTGGAAGGCCGCCCACGACACATAGTGCAGGACCTGCTTGTGCTGCTTCAGCCCAGCTGCCAAACTGTCAGCCAGTGTCTTTGACACCATGTGCGCAGCACTGCCACACTTCGCGAAGAAGTCGGCCCAGGCATTGCCGACGTAGGCCTCCAGCTCGTCTGGCGTGGCCGACCCGATGACGTCCTCCAGCTTCCTGTGAGCTGGAGTCCACTGAAACCGCACTGGTGGCAGACGTGGATCGCGTGCTCTGGCAGCCGAAAAAATATCTCTCCAGACTCGGGCGTGCTTCGCTTTGCCAAACTCGAGCCTCTGGTCCCAGGACGCACCCTCCTCCACGAGCGATTTCAGATCAGAAATGAAAACCTCATGCCCAGGATGCCTCTGAAGTCCCATCTTGATGGCATAGCGCTCAGCACGTCCTACTGTCTGCACATAGTAGGGCAAGGGCCCATATACAGCTCTGGCGGGGAGCCACGTGACGGGGTCCAGCTGGCAGACCGACCACCCACACCTACGTACTTCAGGAATGCTGGCCGAGAACCCCGAGCCGTCAGTATATGACGTAGGCCCCCAAGAGCCCGAGACATCTCCCCATTCAAAAACCTCATTGGAGACCGTGGTGTAGTGCGGTACTGCAACAGGCTCTGGAACCCCATAGATCAGGTATCTCTGGTCCCAGTCGGCGCACCCCAGCATCTGACCAGACGCCTGAAGCATGCCACGAACCTCCTGAAGCTGTTCTGGAAACTCACAATACTCCTGGTCGGGGTCCCCTTCGAGGAGCGGCGGGCAGTCGTAAAAGATATGACCCCAACAGGAGTTGCTAGCCTTGCCGCAGGCCTGACATGGCCTAATGGGCCTCCCGTGCTTCATGTCCCGACGCGGTGGGATGGGAAGGTTGTCAGCCCACAAAGCCTGCAGCGCTCCGAGGCGCCTGTGACACTTTATCTTGGCGAGCGCGTGGCGCAGCGCACGATGCCACACGTCCGCCTGCTCGGTGTAAAAATGCTGCTGCAACCTATGGTGCTGCCAGCGCTGAATGCCTTGATGCAGGAACACTCGTAGGTCTGCTGGACATACACGATATAAATCAAAACTGTTTCCCAAATCGTCGACCAGGATGTGCTCTGACGACATAGTCCAGGATATGCGCCTCAAAGTAAGCCAGGTGGCCCCAAGGGGCCCACGCGCCTTGGCCCAGGAAGGTGAACTCTCAAACTTAGCACCCAGACGTACCCAAGCCTCCCGAAGTCTGCTAGGTTGCACTCGCCCGTCCCAGATCCAGGAGGCGTATTTGAGCACAATGTCCGTGGTGGCGTTATATATGGGGTCATAACATTCATCCCGATGAGATATGAGATACGCTGTTACCCCAACCATCGTCTTACCTGGAGCACCATTTAGGACTGCAGCACAATGTCGCAACTCACGAAGAGCGCTGTCGCTAACTCCAGCAACTGCACCGCCATGCGCCACTGATGGAAGGGCGCCCGTGCGCCACAAGCTGGTAGCACTCCGCCCCACGGCGGACTTCAACATGCGAAAACGATGCTTGCGCTCTCGAAACTGCACCAACCTACGCTTCTCCATATGCCGAAGAACTCGAGGTCCTGTGAGCTCGTGTCCCAGATTCCTCATGTGGGCCCTGTACGGGATCTTCAAGGTTCCCAGGTGCCTCTTGAGATGTCCCCAGACCTTTTGGTTCCCAGGGATACATCCAGACTTCGGCGGCTTCAGGACCATCCCAAGATCTCCTGCATCCGACGTGAACGCCTTGGCCGCCCGGGCCAGGTTGGACACTTCCCTCAATACGGGCGACACGTACTGCAGACCCACATCGCCCATGAGCGTGCGTGGCGTGATAGAGGGTGCAATACTGGCCGTGCGCTGGACCGCTCGGTACGTGAGGAGGTATAGAAGGTACGTGGCGTGCGTGCAGCCCGCTAGAATACCCTGATGGGCCACCAAGGGCCTAGATACAGATCCAAAGCACTTGATCCTTCTCGGCTGACGGTAGGAGCCCAGGAGCAACCACAGGAGCCTCAGCGGGTACCCGAGCTCTCTAGCTTCTCGGAGAAGTGCACTGTGACTGACCATATCGAAGCACTTGGTCATGTCCAAGAGAATGGTGCATGTGTGCTCACCTAAAAGTTCTCATATCTCCTGGCTCAGGTTGTGGTCGAAGGCTGAATCGGTCGAAGTCTGCCCAGCCCTTGACCCCCACATATGCTCGCACCTATGCGCCTCTTGCCACTCCGCCGAAAGCGGCCGACGTAGCTTTCCCCACAACCTGACGAAGGTATTGCTGAGGACGATCAACCTAGTGTCCCCGTCAGGCTTGGGCAGGCGAACAAGCTCGCTGTAGAGCCTGTCCGTGGGCCAGGCCAGCCAACTCTCAAACAGCATGAACATATCGGCCAGGCTCTGCAAGGCCTGGTCGGACAACACATCGAGCGTGCGTGGCGCGATCCTCGTCTGGCCCGAGGCCGTCTTCAACGGAAAACTCCTGATGGCCCCACGCACCTGCGATGCAGACAAAGGCGGAAGCAAAGGCCACTGAGCGTGATCGGCAGGCAGCGACAGAGAACATGCACCGTGGTAGGTCCAAACGTCCTTCCACTTGTCGAGCGTGCGGTCAGCCATCTGGTATGGCTGAGCGTCGTGGGAGTAGGCAAGCACCTCCTGTCGAGCCCGAACTTTGGAGGACGAATGTGCCCGAGATGCTCCTCCCAGGAAGGCTTCTTTGGCCCACTGCCTCCAGGCCCTCTCTGACGCTCTTTGTGCCGTTCTCAAATGATGATCAGCTCTGGCAATGATGGCCTTGGCTACGTCCTCAAAGTCAGACTCGACCAGGCCAGTCAGCCCTCGCCGAAAGAAGCCTGCGAAGGCAGCATCCAAAACACACAGCACATGCTCTGACCGAGCCGCGCGTCTATAAAAGGCAGCCACCTCGTTGAAAGCCACTACGACCTTAGTGTACTGCAGCGGCGTGATGTCACACACGGCAGCACAGAGCTTGAGGCGCTCGATGTACCTCGCCAGCCGCTTCTTCTCCGCCACAAGGTGCTGGGCCCATCGCTTCGCCGTGGCCCAGGCCAGCACGGTCGGCTCCTTGTAGGTACGCCTGCGTGGCGGCTGCCATGACAAGTGCTGCCACTTGAACTGCGGCGGCCCCTCGCGTCCAATGTACTGCATGGCCTTAGCACCCACACAGTCGTAACGCCCTGCCAGCTCGTAGTCCACCCCTCGCAGCACGGAGTCCCAGAGCAGGCTCAGATCGTCGGCACAGCTGACCCGTTGGAACTCTGTCTGGAGCCTGTGCCACGGGTAGGGATATCTAGCACAGCCAACTGGCGGCACCACCGCGAAGGGGCGCGGCTCCGCAGGGACACGGCACCACGTGGGGCGATCCTCTCCCATGAGCTGCAGCTCAACAGGGAAATGCGGCGGCGGCACGACCGTGGAGTCATACTGGACCTCTGGCTTGCCCTTGATGCGAGACGCTAGATTGGCACAGACGACGAAATAGTCTATGGTGCTCTTGCCCTCGTCGGTGATGCAGGTGTGCTGGTCGGGCACGTAGTGGACGGCTGCCATGGTCTCGACCCAGTTGCGAACATTGAGCGCATCGATGTCGGAGTTCCAGTCGCCACCTAGGATCCAGTCGAGGCCCCGTGAGTTCCATGCTGCCACTCTCTGTGCCAGGGCCCACAGCACCTCAATGTTCTCGCCCGATATGCCAATGGACGTGACAAGATACACACTGGCGACTATGATGCCGCCTGCCACTCCCCAGTTAATCTGTGCACAGACTGCTCGTCCTGGGTAGATAATGTGCCCATCATCAGGTGGGGCTGTGACCATGATGTATGTCGGCACAAGTACAGCGACGCCTCCGAAGTTGGACGTGGCTGAGTCACCCGTGGAGGGCGACGGGGCCCATAGCCCGTGCCATCCAGCATCCAAGGCCCTGGCCTGAAACTCGCCAAGCCTGGAGTCGGTAATCCTCAATTCTTGTGCCAGCAAGATAGTTCCTCGATAGGTGGCCAAAAAGTCAAAGAGAGGACCGTAGCTCGTAGCATTCACCGTTGTGATGAGGCCCTTGAGCTGCGGCTGAGATACTGCATGCGTTGGCTGCACCTTCGCCTCCGTGCTCCCTGGCGGCAAAGGCGAGGTAGGTGCAGCGCGTTCTTGACTTGATTTCTCGAAGCGTAATCGGGAAGAAGGTGGGGACGAAGATGGCGCTTCATGAAATGCGCCTTCACACAGATCTGCTTCCATGTCAGGCTCAACGTCCTCAAAGAAGTCATGATCGTCATCCAAGGTAGTGCACACTGGGCCGCTCTGGCCCGGTGGGGCCCCTGGCAGTCGGTACTCTCTGCCGCCTGAATTCTCCGAGGGCAAGGGCGGTGAGCGGTGCGTGCCGTCCGAAGACGGTCGGTACCCTCTGCCGCCAATCCCCGAAGGTGAGGTCGGTGAGCAGTGCGTGCTGCCAGGGGCCAACCGCGTAGGCGTAGACGGAGTAGCCCTCTGTGATGCCGTGGTCGCCCCAGACGGAGCTGCAGGCTCAACCGAAGTAAGTGAGGCCGCCGTCAGGGTCGGAGCTGTCCCCCACCCCGAGGAGCGGGCCAGTGGGGGGAGTAATGTAGGCGCCGTAGTGCCAGCCGAGGTCATGGAACTAGACGCCGATGTGGGCAGGGGGGTGTGACTACGAGGGGCTGAATCCCTCCCCCCCCTGCCCAGAATGCTAGCCGCCGTCGAAGATGACTGAGGCGGACTCTCGACATGTTGCGCTGATGTAGAGCTGACCATGGTGACAAAGAGCCAAAGCAACAGCATATCAAGCCGAGCACCTTCACGCCGAAGTCTTGGCCTTCTTGGCCACAGTGTCCAAGTAGCTCTGCTGAAGGCGCTTGAACTTCTCACGCACGATGTCAGGGGTGTCGCTCTCCTCGACTTGGACCCCTGCTGCCCCCAGCGTCTCACGGTACTCCTGCTCTGACATCTCGATGTCAGGTGGCTCAGCGCAAGACTCATCACCATCCTCATCATCATGGGCAGGTGTAGGTTCAGGCGGCTTGGCCTGCGGCATATTCTGCAGCTTGCTGACCGTGTT